AAGTAAGTTTCTTGCATTATATAATACATTTTACGAGAAAAAATATACCACGATGACTACGAGAAATGAAAATAAAAAGTCAGTTGAGCCAACGCCCATAGCTGAACCGGTTGAAAATCCCGCTGCGGGCGACACGTCAGCAGCAGAGATCAATGCGCTTCGGCGCGAATCCAGACAACTGTCAGCCGACATCAATAGGAAAATAGATGACGGAATTAAATCAATAAAAACAAATCAACAAGTATTAATTGAAAAAAAATGAAAATGGTGGAAGACAAACAGAGAGTGATGTAGCAGTTTCTTGATTATTTTGCTGAAAATTCTAAGGAAATACAAACGGAAGTGAAAGGCTTGAATACCTGCGTAAACAAAATAGAAGTGGAACTGAAAGAAAATCAGAATAAAATTAATGCGCTGGAAAATAACCTACTCAAAATAGAAAGACATTCCCAGGGATTTAACCTGAGATTTGGAGAAGAGGAAGGTGAGAATCCAGTAGATAAATTAAAACAATTGATTATGAATGACTTAAATCATGAGAGCGTCTTAATTGAAAACGCGCATAGAGCAGGAAAACCAAGACTGGGAGAGCAGTTCAGACATCCAGGCACATAATTGTCAAATTTATTTACAGGCCTCAAAGGCTCTCGGTGCTAACTAAAGCAAAGCAACTAAAGAAAAAGAATTTCTACGTCATGGAAGACCTGCCTTTAGCCGATGTAAATAAGAAACGGGAACTTAAAGATATATTATTTTGAAAGCCTACAACGACTGTTAACATCCACTGTTTCGTAATGGGTCCCTATTCATTGACGGGAAAATGTATCGAGATAGATAGCTCGATTGGGAGTTAAACAGAAAATTGGAAACTGTACGTATAAGTTACTGTGAATTTTATTAATCTTAAAATATTATAGATTAAACGGTACTATTTTGATTGCATTATTTTACCATAGGCTACTTATGCACGACCCAACTACCGATATCGGCGGAGCGATATCAAGCGATGTTAGATCCAAGCGTTTTATTCGATCAATAACTGAACTTTACATTACCATTTTTGTCTTTATATTTTATTATTTATCTGTATTTAATAAGTGTAAATGAAATATGTCTTTTTTACGAACTATTCCGACGATTAGGCCCTATGACATTGATATTGATATACGGTACCCAATTATAATGTTAACAAGTATTTAAGCGTTGATGACTTCAACCAAATTAATTTCCAACAAGATTTAAATGGTTTATCCATATTTACTCTAAATTGTAGAAGTATATTAAGAAAGTTTGATATGTTAACCAATTATCTGGGCCGATTTGATCATGAATTTTCTGTTCTTTGACTGACTGCGACCTGGCTTTCTAATAACCACCTTAACAGTCTCTACGAGCTCCCAAATTACACAGCTATATACAATAATAGAAAAAATAAGTTAGGGTGTGGAGTAGCGCTATATGTAAAATCAAATATATCTTTTCGATTGAGGGATGACCTAAAAACAATCATTAACACCACTGAAAGCATTATAATTGAAATCAATATTGGAAAGAATACAATCATATGCGGTGTTATATACAGGCCACCTAAATCGCACGTCCCCACCTTTAATGAACAAATAAGAGAATTAATGCAAATATGTAATAGTGAAAAGAAACGAACTTACCTCATGGGTGATTACAATTTAGATAAATTTAGATTTAATTTATACAATGATAATACAAATGCCCAAGCCCATGTTGATATTATGCTCTCAGAATCGTTCATTCCGCTTGAAAAACCTGCCGACACGAATAACGGAAGACACAGCGTCAATAATAGATAACATATACACTAACTCATACAATCTCCAAGATACTGACACCAGAATTTTATTTACCGATATTTCTGACCACTGTCCAATATTTTGTATAGAAAAGTCAATAACAAATAAAATATATACAGTAACTCAAATAATTTTATTCTCAAACGTACTTATTCCGAACAACAAAAACAGTCTTTCAGATCTGAGCTCGAAAACCATATGTGGGAAGACGTTTTATCCAGTGAAAATGCAAATGAGTCTTGCCAACGATTTGCCAAAACTATTACATTACTGATCGATAAATGTTTCCCTTAAGAAAGGAACGTATAAAAACAGACAGAATTCGATCTCCATGAATGACACTCGGAATTGAAAGGTCATTGAATATCAAAGAAAAACTTTACATCAAATCTAAGAAAAATCCAACAGAAATAAATAAACTAAAATATACTAGGTATAGGAATATATTGACATCGGTAATTAGAAATCGAAAAGTAAAATATTATAAAGAAGATTTTAAAAAACGTAAGAATAGTATGAAAAAAACATGGGATGCAATCAACCAAATATTAGGGAGAAAAAGACTATCTTCTCTCCCAACTCAATTGAAACTTAAATGACAGTTGTTTATTAATCCTACAAAAAAAAAGCCAGAGCATTTAATACACATTTTAATAATATTGGCAGATCAATGGCTGAGAAAGCGAATAATGGACATGCAAATTCAGATCCTATTGGAAACATGCGTAATAAAGTCGTAAATTCAATGTTTTTTATGCCAGCTTCTGAATATGAAGTAATGAAATATTTAAATGATCTTAATTTAAATAAATCCTGTGGATATGATGGTATTGGTGCGAAGTATATAAAGAGTAATAGTGATATACTGGCTAAACGCATCTCTCATATAATTAATACATCGTTAGCGACAGGTTTCTTTCCCAGTCAATTAAAGTTAAGTAAAACTATACCGGTGTTCAAAAATTGGGGAAAAAATGACATCAGTAATTATCGGCCAATATCCATATTGCCATGCCTATCAAAGATATATGAAACAATTGTCTATTTACATTCATTAAAACAAGTCATGTTATTTTTAGAAGTAAACATAAGAAAATTAAGACTCTTGATTTGAGATTATTCATGAATTCTTTTGAAATTTTACGCACCAACCAAACCCATTTTTTTTTAGTTGGGCTTGATGATGTCCTGTCATGTGATCTTTTTATATAAATTACATGGCAACAAAAGTCTCAATAGTTGGAGTCTGAAATAAGTTGAAGTATGTTCTGCTTTATAACATACTATTGACACTTTACAAAGCTCTAAATATCCAACATTTAAACATATTCGATTTCTTCATGGGGTTCAGACAGTATTACATTTCACATAGAACAAAAAAAAATTACGCGGGCTATTTTCGAAGTTCATTATTCGTTCAATTAGGCCCTATCTTATATCTTTTGCTACTGCCACTGGTACATACATTTATTAAATCTAAGATTGATTTTTGTTTTGTCTTCTGGTAACCTTAGACGTTTTTAACTTCTTCAGAACTCTGCGGACAGTTTTGGTACTATGGCTAGGAAATTTTCTCATATCACCACGATTATAAAAAACACCATCGGCTTCCTGTCAGCCAAAGACTGAAGTTCAAGATCCTTCTTCTCACTTCCAATTCCATCAATGGCCTTGCGCCTTCGTACGTATTTTTCCTCGCTTGTCCATCTCCACACTACTTCTCGCCCAACCGTTCTTATATTGTAACATACTTCGTGTTCTACGTGTCAGATATGTACGTACTGGTGAGCGATCCTTCTTTTTCTCAGCTCCTTCACTTTGGAATTCGCTCTCTGCTGATCTTCGTAATATCACCTGTCCTCGGTTATATTTTGCTCAACTTAAAACCTACCTATTTTTGTAATTTTCACTTATCAGTTCAGGGGATTCTTCTGCTGCTGATTTTCAATTTTTCTCCTAGCGCCGGTGGTAAGTTATTTACATGATAAGAGAAATAAAAATATTAGTATAAGTTTAAAAATCCATAAAAAGCCAAGAGAGTATTTCAATTCAAGGTTCTCGGATATGGAATAATCTTCAAAAACACTTAAAAGATTTAACTAGTAGTATTGGGAACTTTAAGCTATGTAATAAAGAAGAATTATTAAGTAAGTATTGAACATCATTTTTCTTAAGTATTAAAAGTTCTATTTATATGGCCGTATATATGTATTATATATATATAATATATATATATATATATTTATATATATATATATATATATTATTTTTATAAATAATTTATTACTAAGTTAGCAATTTTTATTTTCTTTAGTTTGGGCATATTTTGTCATTCCTTTCCCATTTTTTTTTTCATTTATTTGATACCGTAACTTGTTCTTATTGAATGTTTTATTTTAATTGGAAATAAATTTGTATTAATTGATTGAATTCTTATTGTTTGATTGATTGATTGAACTTATCTTCGAGCAGAAAATAAATTAATAAAATCGCCCATACACGGTGTCACCTCGTTTTGAGAATAGACAATTGACACGTTAGCCTAGTGACTGCGCACACCATACAGTACACGTACAAGTGAATAATAGTCAACATAAAAACATAGTTATAAATTCAAATAAGGTGTTTAATAAAATAATATGTCGAACATTCAGTTCACACCATAATACCCTGCGCTATATACAGATGAGAAGCCAAACATGTGACGTTCTCCAGGGTCACTACTTGTCACACCATACAAGTTGGTTCTGAATGAGATAAATATCAGCTCTTACTCCAGCTGCTTGAAACCTTCAATTTCTTCTTAAGTCTTAAGCCTGTTGTTGGAGTTCAAGCTGTACTCCTCTGACCATCTAAAAATTAACAAAATACACCTTTCTAGAATAGTTATCCTAAACAAACATCATTTCAAGCATTCTGGAACATGATTAACTTTCATATTAATAAAATGGTTAATCTATAGCTTTATGCTACCAATATGCTGTACAATTGTATACATATGCCCATAATAAGTGTACAGTAAGTATTAAAGACGTCTAAATATCAATACACAATATTACTTGCATAGATCCAAATCAATCTAAGCATATTACATTAATAATGCATACCACAGGTACATTCAACATTCCTGCATTAATTCAACCCTATGCAATATTACAATTAACGTTACTCACGGTCAAACTAACTTCACTTGGCTCTTATATATGAGTTGCACAATACTGTGATGCTCCTAGCTATCACCATATATCATTTAGGTAGGCTTCACTATGCCTCTTAACTTTGCTTAATCTTTGGTGCACCTTAATAGCTGACATGTCCCTGCTTGGATCATATTCCACAGCTTACACCCTTCCATTAAGCCTTTCCTTATGCAACTACTTCTCCCTTCTGGTTTCTCTATCAATCCTACCCCTGCTAACACAAATTAACATAATATTCCCCCACCCATTTTCTCTACACTTATCAGAAGTTGCCACTTGCCTAAAAGTTATTCATATTCATGAAACTTTCAACTACCCTGGAATAATGCTAAATCAACCATTAACTCATGCATATTCATTAAACTGATTCTACACAATGAACACAAACAACCATTAAATCATGAATATTTATTACGCTGATGCACTATACAGTGAGTGTAACGCATTATAAGGTCCACTCTGTGACACACGGCCTAGTGCGTACGTATTGTTCGGTAATCAGGCACAGGGTGGAGCTATGCACACTGTGGTTTGACTGCACTAGTTTAAATTGGTATTGGCATGGAAATTTGATACTCATAATTTGACTCACGAATATTGCATTTTCATTAATATGGCTTATAAACTTATTATATTTCTTGTAAGTAAACATCTGATTACAGTTAATTTACTTCGATTGAAAGAAAAAAAATATTCAGTTCAATCAGTATTATCACTTACTAATTAAATTTAACAGTCGGTACAGTGTGTGATTAATCAGTATGCCATAATACGATATTAATATTATGTTGTCGCATTAATAAGTTTGCGTGAAATAGATCCGTGTAAAATTGATTCAGGCGTACTTATCCTCACTTTTGACAGCTGTACTCCTTGATTACTTTGTGTTTAAGTTCCCAACATGCGAGTTTTATAAATGTATTCTTTTCCTGCTACTCAACAGTTAGGTGACGGTTTGGCAAGATGAATTCTCTACTTGTAGTCAAATTTGTAAAATGGAATTGAACAAGGTAAGATAACTAACTAGTAGCGTATAGGCATAATACTTGCACACACACGTAGAGCTTTTGTCAAGGTAGGAAAGATCTGATAGTATGCTTTATACCATGCCTGACACCAACACAAGAGTCCGACAATAATGGTTTGAAAACATTAGCACCCCTGACGGTTTTTACCGGGCTGACCAAGCCGTCGTACCGGGCTGGGTAAGAAGAGAAAAGAAAGAGGGGAGAGGGAGGGAAAGAGAAAGAAGGGGAAAGAAAAAGAAAGGAAAAAGGAAAAAGGAAAAGAGAAGAGAAAAATAAAGGCAAAAATAAAAAGGAAGATATAATGAACAGATATCACAATACCCCGGCCTGCAACCCCTTCTCCACTTCAAAAAGTGTCATATCGCCTTTGATCTAAGCCGCCAGGTATTCTCCGCAGTGGCGTAACCACCGGGTGACAAGGGGAAAATATCCATCTGTGGAAAATCTTTCCCCATTGAATGCCCTCTTCACCCGGGAAAGTGCCTGAAAATCTCAAATTTTAAATCGCATATTTTGTTAAGGTCGGCCAATTTCCTCTAAAAATTGCACATTTTAGGGAGTTTTGATCAATTCCGACGAAATTAGAATTTAGAACAAAAAATATTTTCGCGCGCTTCGCGCCCATTTTTTTATGTTAAAGCTTGTGTTTGCTCTCCTTTGCCTTCTAAGCTAAGTTATAACACATAGTCCCAAACTCAAAGAAAGAAAATTTAAGATCATTTTACCTAAAAGAAGGGCCTCAATGTGTAATGATGTTGAAAGAATATGTTTGTAATAAATAAAGCTATAAGGAAAATGCTTATATTCAGTTTAAAAAAACGAGTGTGGCCATATATAACATAAGAGCTTGTTGAGGTAGGCCAATTTCCTCTAAAAATTGCACATTTTAGGAAGTTTTGATCAATTCCGACGAAATTAGAATTAAAAAAACAAAAAATTTTCGCACGCTTCGCGCGCATTTTTTTTTAATGTCAAAGCTTGTGCTTGCTCTCCTTTGCCTTCTAAGTTATAACACATAGTCCCAAACTTGAGAAAGAAAATTTAAGATAGATCGTTTTACCTAAAAGAAGGGCCTCAATGTGTAATGACGTTGAAAGAATAGGCCTATGATTGTAATAGATACTAACCACGATGAAAATGCTTATATTTAGCTTCAAACACACGTGTGTGGCCTATATTAATAATAAAATAAGCCCTATGTCGTATTGTTTTCTTTATGGTGGGTGGAGGTGGGGGGGATCACCCAAGACCGCTGTTACACGCCTGCTTATAAGTGGGGCCCCCCACTTTGAAAAACGTTCCGCCGGCCCTGATAGATACTAAAAAAGGCCTAACAAAAGAAAAATCAAAGGCAAAATTATGTCATAGTATCATGGTCACAATATAAACCATACTTTTTAATATAAATTATAATCTTAAAATCATATTCCCATGGTTAAAAAACAAGTTAAAAAAAAATGTATTCGCATCCAACAGCAAGTAACTCACCGATTATAGAATTAAAGTATATTATTTATGATGTGGCTTAGGAAGTGGTAGTTTTAGAAGGGAAACACCTTAACCACTAAGCTATACAACTCCACTCCATGTTAACAAGAGTGTAAACAATATTATTATCCCATGATATTCGAAGTTTGGTATTACTTGCTCACTAATAAAAATTGTCATATGAACATGCGACCTCTCGCTGTCAAGGTGAGTGTCATCATCACCATTAGATCACAAATGTTTCATGGTTGAACAGATTCAAATAACCGTCAGCTACATTGTATTACATAATGATGGTGGACCTCGAGAAGGCGTAAAGAACGGCTGGAAAAAAATAGTAGCATATAATAATAATCAAGATAGCCGTTAACACTGTTAAATTATATATAAATAATCAGTGTTCAATAATAATAGTAAATAATAATAGTAAATAATAATAATAATAATAATAATAATAATAATAGTAATAATAATAATATTATTATTTCTAACCATATCCGTTTAGGGGCTCCGTAGGTGTGCACTGTACCTGCTCTGAACCGTACGTGAAACGTCTACTTATAATCTTCCCCCCTTACAAAGAACTATCATCATCATCTTTTAATTCGTCTGCAGTATTATTTTACATAATTATTCTTTTTTTTTTTCAAATTGTTACAGGATTCCCTGAGCAGTCTGTATTCTATGTTTGGGGGAGATACAATGATTCATTTGGACATTTTTTGCATTATGACTGATTGTCACGTAGCATGTTCCTCACAAATGTTTCCCCCACGAAAGTCTAGAAGAAGACTTATTTCCTGTGGGGTCCTTCTGGTGGTGGTTGGGCGGTATTCCGGGAGACAATCAACTACTCTTTTTTCAAACAGTGTACTGCTCTTTAACATGCACATGCACCATAAATGCGCACAGGATAGGAAAGATGGTGCATAAATAATAATAATAAATAACAATATTTCGCAGGAACGAAATATTATTTCGAGGGAACGAAATACATTTCGAGGGAACGAAATATTATTTAGAGTGAAGGAAATATTATTTCGTTTTCTCGAAATAATTAAATATTTTTTCTAACCATGTCCCTTTAGGGGCTCCGTACCACACTACTTCTCGCCCAACCGTTCTTATTGTAACATGCTTCGTGTTCTACGTGTCAGACATGTACGTACTGGTGATCTTTCTTTTTCTCAGCTCATTCACTTTGGAATTCGCTCCCTGCTGATCTTCGTAATATCACTTGTCCTCAGTTATATTTTACTCAACTTAAAACCTACCTATTTTTGTAATTTTCACTGATTAGTTCAGGGGATTCTTCTGCTGCTGATTTTTAATTTTTCTCCTAGCGCCGGTGGTAAGTTATTTACATGATAAGAGAAATATAAATATTAGTATAAGTTTAAAAATCCATATAAAGCCAAGAGAGTATTTCAATTCAAGGTTCTCGGATATGGAATAATCTTCAAAAACACTTAAAAGATTTAACTAGTAGTATTGTGAATTTTAAGCTTTTATAAGTAAGTTATTACTAAGTTAGCAATTTTTATTTACAGTACTTTAGTTTGGGCATATTTTGTCATCCCTTTCCCATTTTTTTTATTTATTTGATACCATAACTTGTTCTTATTGAATGTTTTATTTAATTTGGAAATTTGTATTAATTGATTGAATTCCTATTATTTGATTGATTGATTGAACTTATCCTCGAGCAGAAAATAAATTAATAAAATCGTCCATACACGGCCTGTGCGTACGTATTGTTCGGTAACCAGGCACAGGGTGGAGCTATGCACACTGTGGTTTGACTGCACTAGTTTAAATTGGTATTGGCATGGACATTTGATACTCTTAATTTGACTCACGAATATTGCATTTTCATTAATATGGCTTATAAACTTATTATATTTCTTGTAAGTAAACATCTGATTACAGTTAATTTACTCCGAATGAAAGAAAAAAAATATTCAGTTCAATCAGTATTATCACTTACTAATTAAATTTAACAGTCGGTACAGTTTGTGATTAATCAGTGTGCCATAATACGATATTAATATTATGTTGTCGCATTAATAAGTTTGCGTGAAATAGATCCGTGTAAAATTGATTCAGGCGTACTTATCCTCACTTTTAACAGCTGTACTCCTTGGTTACCGTACTTTGTGTTTAAGTTCCCAACATGCGAGTTTTATAAATGTATTCTTTTCCTGCTACTCAACAGTTAGGTGACGGTTTGGCAAGATGTATTCTCTACTTGTAGTCAAATTTGTAAAATGGAATTGAACAAGGTAAGATAACTAACTAGTAGTGTATAGGCATAATACTTGCACACACACGTAGAGCTTTTGTCAAGGTAGGAAAGATCAGATAGTATGCTTTATACCATGCCTGACACCAACACAAGAGTCCGACAATAATGGTTTGAAAAAATTAGCAAGTGAGACAGGTTAGATAAGAAAGTATAATACATACTCCAAGTATTGAAATACACGTCATCGTGTTGGGATTCAGTATTTCGACATTAATTATGTCATCATCAGGAATTCCTGATGACATAATTAATGTCAAAATATTGAATCCCAACACGATGGCATGTATTTCAATACTTGGAGTATGTATTATACTTTCTTATCTGAGATTAATCAGTGGACCTTTCAGACAGGCTAGAGTTAGGATATTTTAAGAAATAATATATATAATCTATATATAATAAGAAGTCAAACAAAGTTCTGTATCTGTCTCAAAATAAAATATTCATTGTACTAATAATTTCGACTGTCCATAGGTCATCATCAGTTACTGATGATAGTGGGATGAACAAGGTTATATAGAGAACATATACAAAAGGATTGGTGGTGTCAATAAAGCCTAAACGGCGGTACAGACGGCGTAGCAAAACAACGATATAATAGGTCCATGGTAAGACAATACCCTGCCTTGCCTACAGGGCGTGTAATGACATAGATACTAAAAAAAGAAAGAAAAGGCAAAAGAAAAATCAAAGGCAAAATTATGTCATAGTATCATGGTCACAATATAAACCATACTTTTTAATATAAATTATAATCTTAAAATCATATTCCCATGGTTAGAAAACAAGTTTAAAAAAAAATGTATTCGCATCCAACAGCAAGTAACTCACCGATTATAGAATTAAAGTATATTATTTATGATGTGGCTTAGGAAGTGGTGGTTTTAGAAGGGAAACACCTTAACCACTAAGCTATAAAACTCCACTCCATGTTAACAAGACTGTAAACAATATTATTATCCCATGATATTCGAAGTTTGGTATACCTGCTCACTAATAAAAATTGTCATATGAACATGCGACCTCTCACTGTCAAGGTGAGTGTCATCATCACCACCATTAGATCACAAATGCTTCATGGTTGAACAGATTCAAATAACCGTCAGCTACATTGTATTACATAATGATGGTGGACCTCGAGAAGGCGTAAAGAACGGCTGGAAATAAATAGTAGCATATAACAATAATCAAGATAGCCGTTAACGCTGTTAAATTATATATAAATGATCAGTGTTCAATAATAATAGTGAATAATAATAATAATAATAATAATAATAATAATAATAATAATAATAATAACAATAATAATAATAATAATAATAATAATAATAATAATAATAATAATAATAATAATAATAATAATAATAATAATAATATTAAATAGTAGCATATAACAATAATCAAGATAGCCATTAACACTGTTAAATTATATATAAATAAATATAATCAGTGTCCAATAATAATAGTGTTTAATAATCAGTGTAACAGTGTTCGAATGAAGGACGTGATGGTACATCGTGTAGCATAGCTCTCAACAAATGTGGTCCTATAAATAAATACATTGTGTCACAAAAGCAACTCTCATACTATCACGACCTATATGCACTGCGATCAGTATACGACCGACACCGACCAGTGTGAAAGCTGCTATGAGCAACTTGTGTAGAAGAGAGGGTTGTCGATGGTCACGGGAGTTTTCAACATGTTGAAAAAAATATAGTGGACGGTACTGGTCGCCAGGTCCTACTTCCGGTGAGATACGAACTTAGGTCGGTATGGTCGCATTGTTAGGTAGCGATAAGGTGAGACAGGCTAAAATCCCTCCGACGGGATTCGAACCTACGACTCTCGCTGTCATGGCGAACGTCATAATCATTAGTCCACAGTGGCTTCATGGTTGAGCAGATTTATATGGCCGTGAGCTATTGCATTACACAATGGTGGTGCACCTCGAGAGGGTGTAAGGTAAATACCATCATTGTGTAATACAATGTAGCTGACGGTTATTTGAATTACAAGACCCGAAATATCATTTCCTTGTAGGGTTAGACTGACTCGACTAAAAAATCTCATATTGCAGAACTGATTTTTAAAAAATACATTGATATTACCATGCTAATTAATGCCGATTGGCCGTTTAAAATGACAAATTAATAAATGATTGAACTGCACGAGTAATAAAATGTGTTATTTGAACTTGAGTTACATACTTTGAACATTTTTTTTCTTGAGATAGTCCTAGGTTTTGGTTAAATAGGCTTAACTAATAAAAATTATACATAATAATAATAATAATAATAATAATAATAATAATAATAATAATAATAATAATAATAATAATAATAATAATAATAATAATAATAATAATAAGTTACATTTATATAGCGCATATTGCACAGTGCCTCTATGCACTTTACATAAAATTATAAAAATTATAGGAAAGATCTTAAGCAGAGTTGGATTGGTTCTGTACTAATAGGATTTTGATCACGTACTCAAAACAGTTTTAGAAGGCCGAGCTTTCAGGGAAAAGTACAAGGAGGAAAAGACCAGCATTTCTTGATCAAATAAAACAGGGCGATAGTTATTTTCAAATTAAAAGAAAAGGTGAGAATAGACAGTTCTAAAATACTGGATGCCATAGGGTCTGCCAAAAATGCAGAGTACCAATTAATGATTAAGGCTAGTTAATTATAGGCCTAGTAAATAGCATTGTACTGTAGGTTGTTAATTACAAGGCTTAGTTATTAATTATTGCGGAAATAATATATTTTTATTTTATTATTATTTTTATTATATTATTGTAGATTCAATTTTTTCAAAATTGTAATTAATGTCATGTGCAGTTTAGAAGGCCGAGCTTTCAGGGAAAAGTACAAGGAGGAAAAGACCAGCATTTCTTGATCAAATAAAACATGGCGATAGTTATTTTCAAATTAAAAGAAAAGGTGAGAATAGACAGTTCTAAAATAATGGATGCCATAGGGTCTGCCAAAAATGCAGAGTACCAATTAATGATTAAGGCTAGTTAATTATAGGCCTAGTAAATAGCATTGTACTGTAGGTTGTTAATTACAAGGCTTAGTTATTAATTATTGCGGAAATAATATATTTTTATTTTATTATTATTTTTATTATATTATTGTAGATTCAATTTTTTCAAAATTGTAATTAATGTCACGTGAAGCGTGACTGTGGTGTCATGCCTTGGACCTTAACTAGGCCCTAAGGGGCCTAGGCTTAGTCTAGGGAGGGGCCTGTAGTTAGGCATAGGTTAGCCTCTTTTTCTCTAGAATTTGATAGTACCTATCTACTACTGGTATTACACCTTATCGAAAGGGTACTAGCATACAACATACCACACACAACAACATTCACAGTTGTTAAGACGTACAACCCATGATAAATGATCGATAAGATTTCATAGGTCTACCGTAGGCAAACATTTAGAAAGAACAAAAATAGTAATATTCGAGCGTCACGACATTGCGAAGTGTCTGCTCTTGTTTCTAATAATTTAAAATTAGTATCATATCGAAATCCAGTCGAGTCAATCCGAGATGGCCCGCAAACTTTGAAACAAATTATATTTAAAGATATATTGTCAACAAATTTAATTTAAAATTTTATTTTTGTATACATAATATTATAACGGCATACCACAAGGCTCGATATGGAGTCCTTTATTATTTTTACTACTATTATGTAAAAGATATTTTTTTTCTCCATATAATTAAGAAATTGAGGTGGCAATGTTTGCTGACACAAATATTCTATACAATCACTATGATATTATACAGGAAGATTTTCGAATATTTTGTAATGAGCTTCCTAAACTTTCAAAATGGTTTATTGCAAATAAGCTTACATTAAATGAAATTAAAACAAGTCATGTTATTTTTAGAAGTAAACATAAGAAAATTAAGACTCTTGATTTGAGATTATTCATGAATTCTTTTGAAATTTTACGCACCAACCAAACCCATTTTGTTTTTAGTTGGGCTTCATGATGTCCTGTCATGTGATCTTTTTATATAAATTACATGACAACAAAAGTCTCAATAGTTGGAGTCTGAAATAAGTTGAAGTATGTTCTGCTTTATAACATATTATTGACATTTTACAAAGCTCTAAATATCCAACATTTAAACATATTCGATTTCAGACAGTATTGCATTTCACATAGAACAAAAAAAAAATAAAAATTACGGGCTATTCTCGAAGTCCATTATTCGTTCAATTAGGCCCTATCTTATATCTTTTGCTACTGCCACATTAGTACATGCATTTATTAAATCTAAGATTGATTTTTGTTACTCGCTTCTTTTTGGTTTGTCTTCTGGTAATCTTAGGCGTTTTCAACTTCTTTAGAACTCTGCCGCCCGTGTTGTCACTATGGCTAGGAAATTTTGTCATATCACCACGATTCTAAAAAACTCCATTGGCTTCCTGTGAGCCAAAGACTGAAGTTCAAGATCCTTTTTCTCACTTCCAGTTCCATCAATGGCCTGGCGCCTTCGTATTTTTCCTCGCTTGCCATCTCCACACTACTTCTCGCCCAACCGTTCTTATTGTAGCATGCTTCGTGTTCTACGTGTCAGATATGTACGTACTGGTGAGAGATATTTCTTTTTCTCAGCTCCTTCACTTTGGAATTCGCTCCCTGCTGATCTTCAAAATATCACTTGTCCTCAGTTATATTTTACTCAACTTAAAACCTACCTTTTTTGTAATTTTCACTTATCAGTTCAAGGGATTCTGCTGCTGATTTTCAATTTTTCTCCTAGCGCCGGTGGTAAGTTATTTACATGATAAGAGAAATAAAAATATTAGTATAAGCTTAAAAATCCTTATAAAGCGAAGAGAGTATTTTAATTCAAGGTTCTCGGATATGGAATAATCTTCCAAAACACTTAAAAGATTTTACTAGTAGTATTGGGAATTTTAAGCTATGTATTAAAAAAGAATTATTAAGTAAGTATTGAACATCAATTTTCTTAAGCATTGAAAGTTCTATT